AAATCTTTACGGGAGCAGAACGCCTCATCTTTCTCCCGCGGAACAGCTGGTAGTTTCGAACTGCTGGCCTTAAGGTTCATAGTCCGATTCGTAACCACTCCGCTACCAGAGCTCCTTCTTTTTATACAAAGCGACCATAATAAACGACTCCAATAGTGGTGCTGTAGGGTCAGCACTGGACCACAAGCCACAAGGTCAGAAGTTCAAACCCATCATCAGTTCCTCAGAAACCTTATACAGGATCGTTATAAGTCGGAACCCAATCGACAGCATTTAATACCATAATAAAATAGAGGGAGACTAGAAAGAAAGAAAAAAGTAGAAAGAGGAAATGATATAATATTATATGAATACTTTGGTCCTTTTAAAAAGTGCTCTCTATATTTTGAAGTCCCTTTTGTGGCTCTGTGAGTTAATGTATTGGACTGCAAAGTCAGTGTGAATTGCAAGGTTGGCGATTCAAATTCACCAGGCCTGGGAAACCCTATACAGGGTTGCTATGGGTCAGAACTGCCTCGATGGCACTTAACAACAACAACTCTATATTTTACAATATATTTCTTTAAATTATAATTTAAAGAATTATAATTTATAATTTAGACGTATAATTTGAGATCTTTAGACTCTGAAACTTATGCTAAGCCAGTCTGAAAAATGTTTTTTTTATGAGATTAAAAAGAAACCTCAAATATTTTTGTGACTTCCTTAAATATATTCTCAAATAATTCAGGGCTTGAAAATTATTAGTTGGTCATAAGTATCAATATATGATTATTATATTACAGAATCAAGTGCTTCTTTTTATGCTAAACATCAAATGGAATTTAAGAAAAGATTTAAAAATAAAATCTGGTCTTACAAATAATAACATTTATAGAAAGCTTGTATTTACAATGGCTTATAACATATTTTCTTAGAATGATACAATACAAAATGATACAATTTTGGTCCTAAGACCCATTATTCACTTTAATATTTTTCATCGATACTAAATAGTTGTCATGCCCCTAAAGCCACTTTCATTGCTGTTTCTCTTAAAAACTAATATGAAAAAGTTGAAGGATTGAAAGATTGTTTTAGAAATTAATGCCTTTTTAATCTATAAGACAAACCAGTAATGTCAAAACACTATCAAATGTAATTCCAATTTTTTCTTTCTTTTGAGGTTCTAATACTATTTTGCGATGCCTGTAAGAAAATTTCTCTTCGAGTTCCTTCTCATCTTCAAGCTGAAACACTTGTAGGTAAAGGTAAGAAACTGTATTAAAAGTTTCATAGTTATAATTCCAGCATTTAACTTAGGATAATGCACTAGACAGCAGGGTCAGTTTGAACCACAAAACCAGCAGTTCAAACCCACCAGCACCTTCTAGGCAATCCTATACAGAGCCATTATGGGTTGGAACTGACTCAACAACACTTAACAACAACAAGCTAAAGGCTAACCCTGTAAATTTTTGATAAAAGTCTTATTGTACCTCCCTGGCATTCAAATTGAGCATATAATGAAAGATGGATGGCATGTTTTAGGTAGTAGTTAGAAACAATTAAAGTATCAAAGTTATTTGTATTTTTTTCTTGCAAGAAAACATTAGCAAGCTGTAGAAGGCTAAATTATTTTTAGCTTAGTTCCAACAAAAGAAGTCACCAAAAACAAAGACATATTTTAATCCATATCAACTAAACGTTTCTAAATTTCCAAAGTCTAGTTTCTTTAATTGACTAGATATAAAATGAATGTGTCTGTTTTTAAAATTATTTTTATTTATTGTAAATACCTTAGAATAACAATTATATCTGGGGTTTAGAATGAACAAGTACCTGTGATAATGTCACAAAATAACGTGGGAAATTTACATAAAGTTTGATGGGTCTTGCAACCATTAACCTTTGACTTGTGAGTTGACTGTTCTTCTGAGTACAAAGCTGACATCACTTTCACCAAGATGTTTCATTAGCTTTCAGTTTATAGCTAGGAAAATACACCTTGCATACAGGTACCTTTCCCAAGATAGAGCTGTTTTGCTAAGTGCTTTGAGGTACTAAGATAATCCTTAATATCATTTAAAACAATACTTGTGGTATGGAGCTGTTAACCACAGTGCCAGCAGTTCAAACCAACCAGCGGCTCCTCAGAAACCCTATACAGGGTCGCTATGAGTCGAACCAACTCCTTGGCCTTTAATAGCAACAGCAACAACATCCTATAAAAAAGGAGCCCTGGTAGTGTAGTGGGTTACATGTTGTGCTGCAAATCACAAAGTCCGCAGTTCGAATCTACCAGGCTGTGGGAGAAAGATGAGGCTTTCTACTCCCATAAAGATTTACAGTTTCTGAAACCCTATACAGGGTCGCCATGAGTCGGAACCAACTTGACAGCACCCATCCTTTAAAAGGTAGTGTGGTGTTCGTTAGAATAAGTACTGGACTGTGAACCACAGGATCTGCCGATTGAGTCCACCAGCTGCTCCACAGGAGGAAGATGAGACTTTCACACCTGGCAAAGATTATAGCCTTGGAAACGCTGTGAGTGGGAACCCACTTGATAGCACTTAATGACAACAACATCCTTTAAAAACATTTAAAAGATGTACTATTGTTGTTGCTAAGTGTCTTCGAGTTGTTTCCAGCTCATAGTGACCCTGTATAGAAGCGACCGGTGAACTTGAACCGCCAACCCTGTGGTTCAAATTGACTCCACAGGCCAGCACATTAACCTGCAACACCACACCAGGACTCCAAAAGTATAGTGAATACTAATAAAGATACAGGAAACGCTGTAAATATGTCATATATGAATCAGAGAAGAAATTATTTTGATATCACCAACAATGTATATTGTTGGTGTAATTAAACTTCAGAAAAGGTAATATTAGACAATTTTTACAATATTCATGAGAACTATTTCTTAAAATAGATCAGTTTTCTTATTTGTTAACAGTAATCAAAAGAACATTGCAAATAAGTACAACGTCTACTGATTCCATACAGTTATACTTCAAAAGATATAAAACAGAAAATTTGCATTGTTGTTGTTGTTGAGTGCCATGGAGTCGGTTCTGACTCATAATGACCCTGCACAGGGTTTCCGAGGCTGTAAATCTTTACAGGAGCAGAACGCCTCATCTTTCTCCCATGGAACCACTGGTAGTTTTGAACTGCTGACCTTGAGGTTGGCAGCCTGACTCGTAACCATACGCTACCACAGCTTCTTAATAAGTGTATATGTGTATAAATAGTATAAACTATAAATAAGAATTAAAAATAGAAACAAAGGAAGTCCTGTGACACTAGACAATATTTTACACATAATCATAAATTAATTTATAACAAAGCAGTGAAAAAGAAGACTCCATTAATTCAATTTAATTTTCATAATCTCCATGTTTTAGAATAGTTAGTGCTCAGCAAACTCCAGATGCAACTTCTCCTTCTGCTAATCCTGCACTAACTTGTAGTTGCCATTCCTGTAAAACCCGTTCTATTCCTGTTTTCATCTTACAATTTATTGTGAAATACCTTCTCTGCAGTGAATCTGGAGGAGTGTCTCAAGTCTGCCACCCACTTCCTGTCAAGTGATCCTGGCTTCAGAATTCTAGAAGATGGCTCCATTTACACAACAGATGACCTCATTTTGTCTTCTAAAAGGAAGAGTTTTTTCATTTTACTCTCAGACAGTCAGAAGGAGGAACAAATAGAAATAGAACTTGTACTGGCATCAAGAGAAAATAAGGTATAATGAGCAAACCGTTCAGTAATTTAGCATATTAATCAATTGACAAAGTCCTTCATTTCACAGATTTTCTTCCATGATACAGAGTTCTTAAATGTTCACTTATTTGTCTATTCCATTTATAATTTTACACATGCACTAACTAGATTGTTTTAGGGAGTGGCAGAGCACTTTACAAAACCATGTAAAAGTCAGCAACCCTGTATCCAGGGATAATGTTTTAAGGTGTGGCAACAAGAGCAACCCACTTGAAGAACAAGTCAGAGGTGGCTCTAAGGCTTAGTGAAAACTGATTCAGACTGGAGATGTGGTACTCCACCCTAAGTGGCTTTCTCTCAGTGGACTGTGGGTTGAGTCTCATTTTGCTTTGCTGAGAAGAGATTTTCTCTGGCTTACTCACATGTTAATCGAAACTTCTATAGGTTCCCTCTCTTTGGAATGGAGGTGTGGTCAGTCCACAACTAGTGTCATTTTCTCACAGTGGGATTGGTGATTGGTCCAGGGAATGGGAAAGGAGGTTACTGAAATGAACAAAAATTTCACATCATGCAGACTCAACACAGTGATTTTGATCTTATAAAATCATTTGTTAATAAGTGATTCAACCTGTAAGAGAATTTCACAGTAAAATGACTTTTGATAAATTATAAGATTATAAGAAAATGACTTCACTGAATTTAGAGTATGACTAAGGCTTTCAAGGAGTCCTGGTGTGGCGCTGTAGGATAAGCACTGGATTGCTGGCTGCAAGGTCAGCAGTTCAACCTACCAGTCACTCTTTGGAAACACTATTGAGTAGAAATCAACTTGAAGGCACTTAATAATAAAGCTTCTAAAACATCACTGTATATTAAATTTTAAAAAAATTTCATACTTCATAAAAAAAAAGCATCTAGAACAAATAGTGAGCTGTGTCTTTACATAAGCATAGTGGTATGCTTGTAGTTTTAGCTAACATTATAAGAAATGGGGAACTTCCAACTCTTTTTGATGTTGTTAAGTGCATCAAGTCACCCACCCCTGTACAGGGTATCTACAGAGCTGCTGGTGGGTTTGAAGCATTGACTTTTTAATTCTGAAATATTTGTTAGTGGATTATTTATTTTAAGGAGTCTAAAGCTTCTGGTGTGGCATTCTAGGGTAAACACTGGATGGCTAGCCACAAACTTGAAGGTTTAAACTCACCAGTCATTTCTTTGAAACTCTATACAGGTTGCTATGAATAAGAACCGACTCAAGAACACTTAACAACAACAAAGCTCCTCACGATAATATTTTTTAACCAATGCACAATAAGGTTCTAGTTCAGTAGCTGGTCAAGTCAGAAAACAGAACTAAGAATAGTATGTAGTCTGAGGTCTTATATTTGTGTGTATCTCATTAATAAAAAATGAAATCATTTGTGGATTATCCATGACAACTTTGTTTTTTTTTCATGCTAATGCATATGTGAATGTCACAGTTTTTAGGATGAAAAACAATGCTATATTTCTTTGTCCTGCATCAAACACAGGCTCATAAGAAGAGACATACCAAAGACACAGGCCTTAAGCGCAGCAAAAGGCGATGGGCTCCTATTCCATGCTCCCTAATGGAGAATTCATTAGGTCCATTTCCACAGCACATTCAACAGGTAAACTTGTTCAATTTCTTATGTTCTAGAAATTTTTGTTGTTTAAACTTTGCATTTGAATTGCCTAGTACTATACTTACACCTATTGTTACATAAATGAGGTAAGGACTTAAGCCTATTGTTATTTAAAAGGTTATTTTATTCACCAACCTAGAGTCATACAGTGTATTTTATCACTTTCTTTTGTAAATCATACTTAGACATTTAGAAATAGACTGTATACTTTCAATTTCTGATGCCTTAGTTCTGCCTCCAAATTCTTCCACTCTGCCAGACTTAAGCACGCATGCACAAAAGGCATGTCTAAAGATTTTGTGTAATTCAACTCTTGCTTAATTAGCATTATTCTACCAAAAGATGTCGAGTATTTCAATTTACCCAGTGCTGTTACTGTCACATAGCTGGACTGCAAATGTAGGTCAGTTTTGAAATTATGCATGCTTGAAGGATTAATTATAGAAGGACAGTTTGTATGATTTTTACTTTTTAAAATCATGCAATTTTTTATTCCAAATAGTTTATAATCACTGAAAGAATGTAGAAATATTAAAGATAGATATAGCTCCACAGATTTTCTACAAATATGTACATAGCTCAAAAAAGAATTTATGATCAAATAAATGACAGAGTTTGTGACTTTGCACATTGCAGAATGCAATGAGAAATGATGAGTAGATATGCAGAAAAGAAAGAACAGATAATTAAGTAATAAAGAGAGGAAGTGATTAAAAAACATAACCATCAAAAGAATTCAAGTTTAAAATAATGTATCATGGTATATTTGTATAAAATGAAATTGTCATTTATTGTTTTAGATCCAGTCTGATACTGCACAGAACTATACCATCTTTTACTCCATAAGTGGACCAGGAGTGGACAAGGAGCCCTTCAATTTGTTCTACATCGATAGAGACACCGGGGATATGTTTTGTACACGAAGCATAGATCGTGAGCAGTATCAACAGTTTTCGGTAGGATCATTGAATTATTCATTCAGAATTAGATTCTTATTATCAGTTGAATTCTTCAATTATGCTTATTTGCATCTTATTGGATAATCAAATATTTGACTGAATATCTTAAACATTGCTAACTTACAATATAAAATTCAAATCTGTATAAGTTTTATTGATGAAGAATGATGGTGAGTATTATATGAGAAAAAAAGAGGGAAAATGGTAAAGACAATTTTAAAGAATTAAATGATAGATTTCACTTAACTGATTCTGAGCTATAGAATCTCAAGATAACAAAGAATTGCACTGAGTCAAAAGTTTCCTACAATAGCTGATTATTTTCAAATCTGGCTGAGTGCCATAAATCATCCGACAACTTAAAAAATTGCTGGTGCTTGGGCTCATGCTCAGAAATTCTCATTGCATTGTTCTAGGACAGAGCCCAGGCAGTTAAAAGACTATCCCAAGGTGATTCAAAGTATGTAATACAGTTGAGATCTGCTACTTTAGCCCCTTGCAAAGTATTGTGCAGGTACAAGTTGTATTCTTCTCTTTCTTGTCCTTCAGCAATGAAGTCCTTGGGCACCATTTTACTTCCTTTATAACTGAAACTAGTTTATCCCCTTATTTCAGCCTATTTTACCCAATCAAATGAAAATTCTAACTCTGCTGAAATTTAAATCCTTTCATTTTTCTGTTTCAAACTTCACATATCACCTAGTGTCTTCATTTCTCTTATGACAGTGAAGGGAAATTTACAGGGTGATGGTGAATAAAACTGAGTAAACATTTACCATCTTAAATTATATTTTAAAAAGTACTGTAAAGGAAGTCTTTGCCAAAAAGGCATTTCAAGTCTTATATCTGGACAGTCTTGAGAGTAACATCATGGGTGGCTAAGTGTTTCAGAGACAGCAGTAATATAAAGACACAATGATTTTTTAAAAACAACAACAAAAGCAAACCATGATTAGAGTGGAGTTTAGAGCTTCAGAGTATGTACTAAAAGGTTAGAGTGATAAGTAAAGTCCAGCGTGTGAAGGATCTTGTTGTTGGTAAGTACCGTGGAGTTGGTTCTGACACGTAGTGACCCTGCACAGGGTTTCCGAAGCTGTAAATCTTCACAGGAGCAGAACACCTCATCTTTCTCCAGCGGAACCACTGGTAGTTTCAAACTGTTGACCTTGAGGTTGGCAGCTCGACTCGTAACCACTACACTATCAGAGCTGGGCCCTAACCTAAGAATGTCCACAAAGCATTCTATATGGCAGTGAAACATATGAAACAATATACATGTCTAACTTTAGGTATTTTATAATGAACTCATGCAGTGGTAGGTCTATAGTGACATTTTATTTATAGTTTCATGTCCTGTCTCAAAGTCTCTACTATAAACATTCATTGCTTTTATTAATACCAAATTGTTACTTAAAAAATACATCTTTTATTGTAAATTGAATTTACAGGGCAGATCATCAGTTTTGCATTCAACAAATTACATACTTTGTTTCATTACAGTGGTTATAATCCCCTCTATGTACCATCAAATAACAGTGTTTCTCTGTATTCATTTTAGCTCTTTTTAAAAAACAACAACACTCAGACATATATAATAATTTAAACCACCAAAGGGTACACTCTGCAAGCCTGTCTCCTGGCCACCAGCTCTTATTTCCTGTCTTTCCATGAATTTAGAGTCCTCAGATGCTCCCTCTCTCCATGTCCTCATCTCTGCCTTCATCTCTGGTGTCTCTGCTTCTCTGGATAGGGTCCAACATTCTGCTTGTGCTCTTATCCCTTGATGGTCCAAGGGTTCTCTGTTTCTGGACTGTAAGATTAACTACTCCCCTGTTTTTGTTACAAAACTTCTACCTTTTCAATTGAGACAGTCGCAATTAGTCATGAAAACCATTACTCACTATTGAATCATAAGAATCATATCCCCATCTCTTTTCACCAGATCCATCTAGACAAGATGAAAACTATTCAGTTAGGGGCTCTATCTCCACTCCCCCCACACTCTTTTTTAAAAAATATTTTATTGTGAATTATGTGATAGATTATATGGGAGAACATTAGCTTTACATTTATCCTGTAGTAGTATATCTTTCATTGCCATGGTTACAACCCCCTCCATCATCAACCAACCAAAGGGTATACATACCCTGCAAGCCTGGCCCCCCTGGTCATCAGCACACAGCCCCTCTCCCTCTTTGGATCTAGAGTCCCCAGCCACTCCATCTCTCCATGTCATCATCTCTGCCTCCATCTCTGGCATCTCTGTTTCTCTGGATAGAGTCCCACACTCTGCTCTTCTCACTTGATGGTCCCAGGGACCTACGCTCCTGGACTGCAAAGTCAACCACTCCCCTCCTTTTGCTACAAAACGTCTACCTTTACATTTCCAACCTTCACGTTTAGTCCTGATAGCAGTTATTCACTATGGTACCACAAGAGTCCTATCCCCATCTCCTTTCATCAGCCCTGCCCAGAGAGATTGGATACTACTCACTGGAGATTCTACCTTCCTCTTTGCCCTCAGGATATAGGCTCCCTCTTGAGAGCTTGTAAGCCAGTCACTTCTTGCCTTTGTAGCCCCCACATTTTGGGTAGCCATTGTCCAAGTTGCCCATCCCTGTCTACTCTGTGTATGGAGGGGGTGGGAATGATTCTTGCTTTAAGGATTTGTTCCCTCTTTTGAGCTACTGCATCCATAGGTGTAGGTCAAGTTCATCAAATTGTATCAGATTACTCTCTTTTTTTCCTCTTTCTTCTTCTAGTTGAGTTCTGATTATCCAGCCATTGAAGCCAGGTCAAGTGGGTATTATCTGCAAGTGTGGGTGTTCTTGTGCATATGCCCTCTCTTCTTTCTTATTAACTGGGCACTTCACTCTCCACTCTAGTCCTCTGTGGCTATGTCATTGACTCTGGGGCCAGGAGTCCCCAAGTCTTGCCACACTACTGGTCAACCAGGTCTCTATATAGGTTCACAGGAGTCTAGTGAATGTGGTAGGGCTTAGCTCGCAGCTTCATTCTTTCATAGACTTTTACAAGAGACATATGTTAATCACCATTGCAATGATGTTCATCTTTTTATCAAGAAGCAAAATACTGACGGAGTAAATAGCTGCCCGCAGCTTTTACAACTACTTCAATAGAAGAAAAGATGGAAGACTAGCAACCAGTCTTATGATTGCTCTCTCTGTATTTTGCCTACACTGTATGTTGGAGTGTGTACTTCATTTCTTATCCTGAAGGCATATCATATAAGGCCTTATTAGTTTATTTTCAAGGTCATTCTGCTGTCATCTTTGCTTCTCAATGTGACCGATGCTAGAGACAACAGGAAGAGGAAAATAAAATTATAAATAAGTTACTCTAATTTTCATATTTTTTAAAGGATAAATAAGAAAAAATTAATTTGCATCCAAAGTTAGGATTTTGATTAATTATCTCTTCAGGATAACCCATATATCTCTAGTTCCCATTAACAAGGCTAAGATTGAACTGGCATTAAGAAATTCCCTTTGCAAATTAATACAATTCATAAAGAAAAGTAAAACAACCAGATAGAAACATGCAAGTGTAAAATCAATCAAAGCAGGATAAAGTAGAAGCATTCTTATGTTGATATAAAGGTTGAAATCTTTACTTTTTTATCAAATTATATTTTATTTTTTACTTTATATTGAAAAACTAATTTCTCTGGATTTTTTTCTCCACTTTTTCTTTTCATTTTGGACAAGGCAAAAGCCTGTGTTTTCTTTATTTTGCAGACCACTAAGCACGAGATCAGTGGTTCAAATCCATTAGCCACTCCTTGTAAACCCTATATAGAATTACTATGAGTCAGAACCAACTCAACAACACTTAGCAACAAACAATAACTATCTTACCTATTTCAAAGCTGTTGTGATCATTGAATAACATAATATTGATGAAATTACTGTGTATGCTACAAAACTCTTGAAATATCCTCCAAATGATACAGATCAAACAATGCACATACACCAGAATTTTGTCCTAAAAATTAGGATTTTGCTGGTATTTCCCAATGTTTTGTTTGCATCTAGCATATATGTATATGTTAAGTATTAATAATAGATTATTATTTTTTGGCACAATTCTATTTCATAAATTAGTGAGAATAAAAGCTACAAATCTAATGCAGTGCATTTATTTTGTACTTCTCTTATCTCTGTTGCTCCAAGTTAAGTAGTCTTGACTTCTAATGATTTTAACTACATTTTTATTTAGATCATCTTCTTCACAATAATGATTTCAATTTTATTTACTTTGAAGATAATTGACTAATTTTAAACAAAACCAGAATAGCTTCTGGGGGGGGGGGGAGGGGGAAGGAAATCACCAAATCTGAAACAGTGGAATTTGAAATAATGATATTTACTTATAGTTAGATATAAAGAAATAAGATTATTTCAAATTCAAGTGATAACATAGTCAAAACAACTGATCTCTTTGAGTTACAGGGAAACTAGCAAATATTAGTGTAAATTTTAGCAAGATTTAGATTAGACAAGGATTTAGATTAGACAAGGATTCATTTTAATTCCAATTTGATAAATTAGAAAAATGCTTTACCAGTAGTTCAATAGAATCTTTTCACAGAAGACAAACTAAAAGGTAATTTTTTTTTGTCCTAAAAAAGTAAGTCAGACTTAAGGGAATATAAAAATGACAATGAAAACTATTTATTGAAGACTTGCTCCATTGAAGATACTGCGCTAATTTTTCTGGGATATTACTAAGGCTCCGGCACTATCCTGAGAACAATTGTAATCTAGTAGAAATTATTGTTGTTGTTGCTAAGTGCTGCTGAGTTGGTTCCAACCCAAAGTGAACTTGTATTTGGTTTCCAAAGAGCAGCCGGTGAGTTTGAACCATAGACCTTGAGGTTCAAACCCACCTTGTGGTCAAGCATTTACACTGTAGCACCACTCCAGGACTCCCTAACAGGAATTACTGTCATAAATTTCTGCAATTGAGAATCTCAAAATGGCAGCAGTTTAAAGAAAAAAAAAGCTCATGGTATCGGTATAGGGGTAAAGGAGGAGAGCGTTAGAAAGGCTAAATAGTATAAACGGCATCTAGATGTGAAGATGGCAATGATGATGGTGATGCTAATGATGCTAATGCAAACACTCATATTCCTGAATTTAGAACCATTGAGAAATAATACAGAGGAATACGATTTGTGACAATTTAAGTTAGTTTTAATACAGAAAAAAATAAAAGAACTAGGTATTGTTTGAGCAAAAATAGATGAGAGTGAGAGAGAATATGAGCAGTCATTTTGATACATTCTATCCCGAGAGCAGTGTACTAATTCCTTATCCTGCAGGTTAGCATGAGGAATACAACAAAACATTGCCTTCTAACATGTGGCTCTATAGGATAAGCACTTGACCACAAGGTTAGTTTGAATCACAAGGTCGGCAATTCAAACTCACCAACCACTTCTCGGAAACCCTATACAGGTTCACATAGGTTGGAACCAATTTGATGCCACTTAACAACAATAACACAATGGTGAGGATTTTGTGGTGATGAGAAATCACTGAAGATTTTTATTAAGTAGTATCACAATTAAAATTTTGCTTTATGAAAATGAATTTGACTCCTGAATGCTTACGTATATTGGGGAAAAAAACATCATTCAGAACAATGGCAGGAAGATAAACAGGGTATCATTCAGGATGGTTGGAGTCTAATGAGTGCAATGGCAATAGGAATAGAAAAGAGAAGATGGATGATAGAGATAGAATGGCATGGTAACTTAAATTTGAACAACCAGCAAAGGTAATGATGAAAAGGGATACCTGGAATTTTGAGATTAACTCATTTTTATTTGGAATGACTCTGTTATTGTTAGTTACGGGCAAACTGGCTCTGAGTCATGGCAACAGAGCAAAACACTGCCATCTCCATGACTTTGAGTCCATTGTTATATCTACTGTGTCAGTCTAGTGCATTGAGGGTTTTTCCTTCTTTACACTTAACCTGCTATTCTACCAAACATGATACCCTTTTCCAGGGATTTATCTTTGTTCTTGAGTCCTGTGTGGCATTGCGGGTTAATGCACTGGACTGCAAGGTTGGTTTGAACCACAAGGTCGGCACTTCAAGCTTACCAGCAGCTCCTCAGAAATTTTATACAGGGTGGCTATAAGTCTGAATCTACTCGATGGCACTTAATAACAACAACAACAATGATGTGTCCAAAGTAAGTGAGCTGAAGTTTCATCACCTTTGCTTCTAAAGAGCATTAAGTTATAATGGGATAGTTACAGTAGGGAAATCAAGAAGAGATAGTTGTGATGAAGAATTGAATTGTTACAGAGTTCATTTTTGGCTAATTCAGTTTGTCCTGCCAGGGAAGAAAATGTTTAATAAAAACAAGTATTTGTTGTTCTTAAATGTCATCAACTTGGTTCCAACTTATTGTGACCCTGTATAGGGTTTCTGAGGAATGACAGGTGAGTTTGAACCACTAATCTTGCAGTTCAAACCAAACTGTCAGACTAGTGCTTATCCTACAGCACCACACCAGGACGCTGAGCAACAATTTAGTGAGCACTTATTATACACAAACTATGTAAGAGTGCAAAAATAATATGATGGATTTTGAAGGAAAATGAATTTAAATCCTTTCATTTGAAGTCAACATAAATCATTTGAAAGAAGAATTTGACATCAAATTTAGAATGGTGTGGTACTGTAGGTTAAACATTCAACCAC